ATTCGCTATATAGACAGGTGAGTGGTTCTGGGATTATCACACTGAGGTTCACATGTGCCTTGTGTCTGCCTTGGCCTTTTCTGGTATAGGTAGTTTGAAGCGTGTCTTCCAAAACCTCCATCTGCCATGTCTTCCTAAAGCCACAGCCCTTCAGTTCACTACCTCCCTGTTCTTTTGGGGTCTGGTTTTTTTCAAACTGATCATCTTTTCTGTGCCTTAATGATATGTGCTTATAAACCCTCCTAGAAATTATTGCCCTTGGGGTTTCCCCACTATTTTTGTTGCTGTGGATGCCAGGAAGACTAGGCTCTTGTTTGCACAACCACACAATGTGCCAGTTTTTAAATGGTTTTCCCTGTTTCTGAATGCACTTTATGCAATGCTTTCCAAGGGGTTGACAATCATCTGTCCTCAGTGGTGCACACTCCCCTCCCATGGAGAAGTCTGTGTTGCCTGCTTCCTGAAGTTCAGGCTGGAAGGGATGCGTTAGGATGATGAAGCAGCTGGTGGCAATGTCCTGGTTCCAGATTTCTCTCTGCTGTCACTAAACTGCATTTTTGCCTTGCTTGCCATCTTAGACATCTCCTTTTTCACAGATGAGCCTTTCTCATTTAGCCTGCTCAGATTCTGTCTTCATTTACAAGTGACCTGGCAAGAAAACTCAACTGCAGTCTTTCTCATAAGGTCATTTAGCTGTGCCCATTCATCTCCATGCTGTGGGTTTCTTCTTTCAGCTACCTTTTCAATGAAGAACTCTGGTTGGTGATGGAATATGTGGAGGGATGCACCTTAGCTGCTGTGGTTTCCAAACAAGCTCTTGAGGAAGAGATGATAGCCTCTATCAGTCGGGAGGTAAGGGATGCTGCTCTTGCTTCTGACAGCTTGCACAGGATGGTTCTTTGCAAAAGGTGGTAAAAACAGGTGTGACTTCCTGTTCAGAGCTTTGTTTCTGCGTCACTGTTATGATGTGGAGAAGAAAAGAGCATCCAAGTGAACGGCCTGCCAGTCTCACTGCATTTCTTGTACTCTGTTATTATCCTCCTATAATGTTGTTGTACTTTCTTATTTAGTTTAATTTCATTTTTTTTTATTTATTATTCTAAACTTTGCTATTTGAACTATATCTTCAACTGATGTGTTACCTGGAAATTTGATCTTTTAGAGCCATTTCGTTTTTTCTGGGATAAAATCAGCCTAATTAATTTTTCCCCTTGTCTTTCTGTGTTTAATCTCAGTGCCTGAAAGGACTGGACTTCCTTCATTCAATTCTAGTGATTCACAGTGTAGTGGTTTGGACCTTGTTTTCCCCCAGAGGCTGAAAAGTGGTAACCCCCAGGGGTGGAAACCCCTGGAAGTTTTGAAGTTCTATCCAATGAACGCTCCTGCAGAAATGTAAACATATCACAAGCACCGGAAGAGAAGGGGTTGTAGTTTGGGTTGGTAGTAGAAGTGGCCATGTTGTAGTAGCCACGAGGGGGGGTAGGAACTGTACCAAACCCCCAAACTCCTTGAAACCTCCTGGAAGGAGGAAGATGATGGACTCTTGCTTGAAAGAGCCTTGGAGTGCTACAGCACTTGCAGAGAGGAGCTGAGAAGCTCAAAGGCGTCCTGGGAAGCTGGACCGGGACGGAGAAGGAATGCGGGGGGGGGTTGACCTTGGCCCCCCTCGCTGCTGCTGCT